CTCGCCCCCCGCCCCCCCCCCGAGCACAACATGCCCTCATCTTCTTGTAGCCTTGGCTTCTATGATCTCACCTCCATGCCACAACTTCCCCTTGTAAAGCCCAGGTCCCCAGCTATGCACGTGCTGTCTGTGGGGATGGGACAGACTGTAGGGGCATGATTGTCCTCTTCACGGTCAATATTCAAGTACAACATCACCCAGACGGCCTGCTTTTCAGTAAGAGATCACCAGATATATGCTACACAATTTTCTCTGACATCTGTTTTGGACACACATACTCAACCTGGAACACTCTTAAGGGTAATGTGTTCTTCTGGAATACATTTCTCTTCCTATGTGACCCAGCTTCACACCCCGTCTCATTAAATCCCATGGACTTCCCGCTCCAAAATCCCATTCCTTCCTTTTTCTGATTTCATTTCATTTATTTTTCCATCACTATTCATCCCCTCTATGCCCTCTTCCACTCCACCCCTCCGCACCCCCCAGTCACCCCACTGTTGTCCATGTACATGAATTCTCTCGCTTTATTCTTTGTCCACTTTCTGAGTTGAACTGTCATTGGGGCTGCTTCCGTCTCCTCCTTGAACAGGCTCAGTGTATCCGAGCAACCCTGCCAAATGTCCACAGCCCAGAGCTTCGCTGCCACTTGGGGACTCTCCCCCTCTACTTGCTCCTGGTACACCCATGCCTCACCAGCCCTGTGTGAGCCCTCCTCAGGCCCCAGACTGCCCTGAGGGCTCTGGCTGAGTGTCGGGGTGGGCCCTGCCCTTTCTGGGCCTCAAACTTCTCCTGAATATGAGGACAAAACTCGGAGACCCCAGCACTATTACGCACTAGCTGAGGAGCCTTGGGCAGAGTTTAACCATGTGAACCTGGGCTTCCTGGTTTGCAAAGTGGGAACAGTATCAGCATCTACTCCCTAAGGACGTTTTGAAGATTGTCCCTTTCGATCTTCGAAACGTCAAGTGCTTATAACAGTCGCTATCACCCAGAGAACCTGAGGATGCTACCATCATCTCCTGTGGTCCCTGGAGGCCATGCGACAAGCAGGAGTGGGCAGGGGTAGTGTGTCCAAGGCTGGGTTTCCTGCCTTCCCTATCAGTCACCTGGCTTAGTGATTACGAACTGCAGGTAAGCTCTGCATGTCCACCCAACCCTTCTTTTCCTGACTTCCAACCCCCGCACCCCAGGTTCCTTTGCCTCAGCTTCTCCTTCAGCCCTTCTCCACCGAGGCCACATGGAACCCAACCTGTGCCCTTCACATCCTCACATTCAAATACTGGCGGTTGGAGAAGATCCTCCCACAGCCAGGGTAGTCACAAGGCAGCAGCTCCTTTTTGGCAGCTTTCCTGGGGGAGCAGAAGAGGGAGGAACATGAAGACTCCTGCAGGCTCTCCTCTCAGCCCCTTCCAGAACCCTCCCCCAGCCTTACCTAATTCTTTTGGGGCCAATCTGTGCACTGTCCTCATCCCAGGCTACCGCCAGAGCAGACTGGACCTGACTTCCAGGGCTACGAGCAGCAAAGAGGGAGCAGAGGGCCTCAGGGAAGGGCCATGTCCCAGGACACCCCTGCCCTCCGTCTCGGCCAATAGGTTACCTGGCCAGGGGCTCAGTTTGCTGGGCCACTGGAGGGGTCTGACGGGGCTCCGGTGTCCCCTCATCTTCTACAGACTGAGGAGCTCCAGAACCCAGTGGGGATGCTGATGAGGGTGGCACAGCAAGAGAAGTGGGGGCAGCTGCAGGGGCCAGAGGTGTCTCTCCCTCCTCGAGTGCATGGGTGACAGGGGAAGGGTGCGGCCTGGGGGCGTCTGGCTCACAGCTGAAAGAGTGAAGAGGAGGACATTAACTCCTGGGCCTCAGCCGGCCACAGCCCCACCCCAGCCCCGAAACTGAGATGATCCCAAACTCAGAACAACTCCACCCAGGCCTCTACTCATATCTGCATTCGGCCTTCATTCTCCCTGGAAGCCTACCTTAACCCCTTTCCACCCAATTCCAAGCCTCCAGTTCTTCGCGCCCTTCCCACCAAGTCCGCAAAGCTCTTCACCTGGTCGGCTGCCCCCCCCCACCCCCGCCCCCTGCTCTGCTCACTGCCCTCCCTCAGCCCCAACTTGCTTGTCTGAGGAGGAGCTGTAGGTCCACGGGCTGGCATCACTGAGCATCTCCTCTTCACTCTCATCTTCATCCTCCCCCTCGCCTCCTGGGGGCAGGCAGGACTCCGGTGGGGGTCCCATTCCCCTGCAGGGGCAAAGAAGGCAAGCCTGACGTTCTGATCCCTCGCCCCACTGCCCACCCATCTAGCTTGCCCCTCCTTCACCCAGCCTCACCTGGGCAACCTCGCCTCCTGAGTCTTCTCCTCACGTTCAGATTCCAAACCTGTTAGCACAGGTGGGGTTAAAGGGGAAGAAACTCTGGCCGAAGGGATGAGGGCACGTGGGCTCTAAGGTCTGAATTCATGGGAGGACTTTTAGGGAGGGGAAGAGGCTACTACAGTGGGAAAGGGTATTTTATTTTAAAGAGGACACATTCACATGGTCCAAAAAAACACACACAAGTATAAAAAGGTACATTGCGAAAAGTCTCCTTTCCAATACTGCCCCCTAGTGGCCTAGCTCTCCCCACAGGCAATCTGGTCTCCACTTGCCTTCCCAGAGAGATTTCATTCTTTCAAAAGTGCTTTCTCACAGTTTGGCTCAAATAAACTCACAAAAATTCTTAAAAAAAAAAAAAAAAAAAAAAAAAAAAGAAAGAAAGTGCTTTCTCCCCCCCTTATTTTCCCACCAAAACACATGCCATACATCCTATTATGCACTTTCCTTTTTATACCTAAACATCTATTTAAGGACATATTCCCTGGACAGCATAGTCCATTGAGAACAGATAATTTTTAGAGCCAAAGGTCCTGAGCTCCAGAGAGGGAAACCCTTCTCCCTTCCTATTCTCCACAGCTCTTCCCTCCCCGCCTACCTGCAGGCTCCTGCCCACCCCTGGCCTCTGGGCACCAGCTTCTCTGGGAAGTACTTGGAAGGAGAGCTGGCTGGGGCTCCGCTGGAGGTGTGGGGCCTGAGGAGGGGCCCCAGGAGAAGGTGTGGCCCGCGGAGCACTCCCACACAAGCCCACCATCTCGGCCCCCGGGCCCCCGCAGCCCGGGCACCAGGCTGCACTCTTGGCTGTGGGCATGAGATAGGAGCACCAGATACTGCAGACCCTTGGGGGGCAAAGGCTTAGGACCTAAAGGGGTGAAGGTGACAGTCAGAGCCAGCTGGGGTGCCCCCTCTTCTCACCCTGGAGAGCCACCCCGACAGCCTGGCCAGGTAACACCCTGGGCAGGGCAGCCCTGGTCCCCTCCAGCTTACCCATCCTGAGCCCAGGCAGCGAGGTCCTGAGAAGATGCTCCCTTCCCCGCCGGCTGCGCTCACCTCACTGCCCGGACTCCCCAACGCCTTACCTCTCCCCAACTCCCACAGGCCCCCTCTGATCCATCCCCTTTGGGAGTCTTCCTGGGTCGCACCCTCGCTGCTGCCCCGCTTCCCCCTACGGCCCCTGAGCCCCTTCCCCCAGCTGCTGCCTACCCACCTGCACAGAGCACACAGCCCGAAGAAGTGTACCTGCCAGAGGACAAGGGGCAGGTCAGGCC